TTGTTTTTGGCGAAAAGATAAAAAGAATCAAATAATAGATATGCCTAGTGAATCTATCGCTATGATTAATTTAAGTCATAAATTAATCATCGCGATAGATTCACTAGGCATATCTATTATTTGATTCTTTTTATCTTTTCGCCAAAAACAATAGATTATGCCAGAAACTAGGGATTGGGACCGTTTAACCGAATAAAAATGGTTCCATAATTTCGGGGCCGACTTATGTTGATCATGGGCCAAGTTTATCCTAATGCCAGCCGAGTTAAACGGTTAATACGATTAAGCGGTTAAACGATTAAAGAAATTCTAGGCGGTTCCAATCCCTAATTTATGAATTAATTCTTTTATAAAACTAGCTATTTCACATGCAGCGACTTCATTGCCCAAGGCTTGATATATTTATAAAATAAATGTATTTACTAAAATATTAATTAACGACTAATCAATTAGAAACACTTTTAATAACTTATATAAGCTTGCAAACTACTATTATTTTAATCGATAAATTATCAATTGAAAATCAACAATAATTGTATACTCCTTTTTGACTTTTATATGGTCAGTCACCACAAATAATTACGAACTTGTTCTAGAAAACGTGAAGCAAATCATCATGCTAATACATATTTATTTGTTTGTAACTTTACTCAATATTGCTCAATTAAAAATGTAAAATAACTTATTTGAAAAAAAAGACATTTTTTTACAAAATTTTTTAGTTACGACAATGGAGCTAGTGGCGACACGTCAATTACGCATCAACCTAAGCCTGCACCTATAATCCAATAAATATTATTCTAATATCTCAACATCTTCCTGCGTAACAACCAAGAATCTTCCACTACCTTCTCCAAAACTAATGGTTTTCAGCCCTCCCAGCAATTCAGCTTGTCGATGCAATCGCTTCCTCTGATATCCGCTTAAATCGCTAGGAAACTTTAATACTTTTTCATTGCTTGCTGAGAATCTTTTCAATATTTTAATCATAACATTGGTCATCACATCATGTGGTAACCCTTCAAAAGACGCGCCATTATTAAAATGCGTTGGTGTGACATATGACGTTAAAATTCTTTTATAATATTCCTCTTCTCCTTTACCGATATTCGGTCTTTTAGGCTTACTTTGATTACGTATTTCATGTGAAAATTTCCACGAATCACTAGTTTGAGAAGGTAAATTTTCTGGCTCATGATGTTTCTGTTTAGAAAGTCTTGGTTGAAGGCAACTTTTGGGAACACCATAAGCTTTCGTTCTTTGGTGTTGTTTTGGTTGACGAGGAACTTTATTTTCTTTTGGCGTCAATGAGTCTTCTTGAACAGGTGTTGACCTTTCTTGACGTCTTTTTTTCCACTCTCGATTCTCTGCATGGCTATTATATAAACAAATTATGCTAGTAAATGAAATATATATTAATAAATGAAAGATTTAATTATTTATTATACCTAAATGGAAACAACTTTCCAATAACTGCCCAACATTTTGCCAATTCTCTTTTAAAAACTTTCTTTTCATTTTCGGTTTTCAATTCCCATTCAATATAAGCTTTAGCTCTAGCCTTTCCTCTACGTCCAACTTCACGTCTAAATGCTTCTTGATTAGTGTAAATATCCAACTTCTCATTATATCCTTCCCATTCAATTATATTATCCGTCCATTTAGATGGACCATCTTCACTGTAGACAACTTTATCAACATATTTATGCATTTTGAGAATAACTTCTTTAATATCCATTTTTTTGATTTCTTTATTATCATTTCGTTCCTTTTCTATACACTCTTTGGTTAATTCAAATAATTTGTTCAATGGTTCACAATTAACCATTTGTGTTATTAACGGTTCTTTTAAAATTTCACGCAAGATTGAACATGTTAAAATTAGACTTTTTAAAGTTTGAATATCATTAATATAAGAAATTATTTGTGTCCAAATTTCGATAGGAAATATTGATAAAGCAGGCTTTGGAGATTTTTGAATTGATGGAACTAAAAATTCAGTATCGGAATAATCAATTTTGTCAAAATCGATATCATCAAGGTTAATTTCATCATAATCAATATCTTGAAACATTTTTATTTTTATTTTTTTTTTGGATATACTCTATTGTGTGAAAATTATTTACATTAAGGAAATTAACGTTATGACTCATATACTACTTGTTGTTACACAACGTTACTGTATATTATTAATACAGTAACGATAATAATTTCTAATTACCTGCGCCGCTCTTAATATCGTTATTACTTTCGAGTATCAGATCTTTTAACATTTTTTAACCAATGATATTACTCATTAAACATAAAGCTTTAAGCCAATACTAACGCTAATAATTTTCGATCAAAAATTAACTGAGATTAATATAACGATAAATAAAAAATTATTCTCAGATACTGCGATTTCAACTGCACAGTATATAGGATTTTTTAAGTATTTGTTATATAATATTATTTTATCAGAATTAGTTATTAAAAATCTAGTCAGCTACATTTAAAGAGTAAGTAACGGTAGGGAGATTTCAAAGCTAGCATTTTATTATGAATACTTTTTTCTATAAAAATATCTTTTCGCATATTTTACATAAATTGCGATATAGCGCATAATTATAAGCATATTCTGATTTAAAGTTCGTATAATTTGCAATAATCCTGGACATTCTAATCTCCACTTTTTTTTATTTACAGTGACCTGCGTTATAATTTGTCATTCGCACATCATATTTAAAAAATAAATTGTCCATAATGTCTTCTTTTCTCAGTCTCGTTTCAAAATTTTCTCGTCTTACCTCACGCGCTCTTCGACCAGCAGTATTCTTCTCATCTACTACCACATTATTTGACGATGCCC